GGGCACATCATTGGTTGAGGAATCCCCATAGGGGGGGTCGTATTTGGCCGCCAGGAGAGGGGGGTCGTAATGAGGGCGGTAGCCAGTATCGAGCAGCGCAAAGGTCTCAGTGTGCTGAGTCCAGAGTAGCGGAACTCGCTTTGTAGAGAACTCGGATATGTAAAAGAAATAGTAGAAAACTTTCAACCATCAATTAATCCGAAATAACTGAAATTATTATTATAATAAGTCGACATTATCTCGTAAGTCCGTTGATGACTGAACAGTACAACTCATACTCTGGTTCGTTGCGGATGATGGGCGTGTCCGCGATTACGCTTGGCGCTGAGCCAACCTCTTTTTTCAACAAACGACAGGACTACCATATCGTTCGTACCAGACGTTTTCCAGCAGTTGGTCTCCTTTATCGGAGACAGCAATTGGCGAGCACACATCTGGCGGCCGACACAGACACGCTCCATCATCTATCATCGCAAGGGAAAACACTGTAAACAAAAGTGCACAGGTTCGCCATGGATCTCCCTGAATCCTATAGACACATTTGCTCGCGTGGACAGACATTACGCACAAATTGCACCATCCCTTCACTCTGCGCGGACCTCAGTGCGCGGCGCATCCAAAGTCAGCGTGATCGGCGCTAAACGAACCATATTCTGCTCCTGCTCCACCAGAGGATACGTTTCTACATGCGGTTCTTATTCCTGGCTATTCGAACACGCTCACTTGAAACGGTACACAGGAAACGGGTTTTTCGCGCAGCTGGGAGTGTTCCCCAAGAAATCCCCATAGCGAGATCTCATGAATCCCGAGAACTTCAGAAACAGCTCAAGAGGTTTTTAGAAAGAGAAAATCTTTAAACACTCGAAACCGTTCTCAGATTTGTGAAATGTTGAGTTACGATTTTTGCGACCTTCATAAACGTTTCAGTACTAGGAAGTGCAAACCTTCCTCTACACGAATACGGTCTCCTCTTCCCCACAGGTCCGCTTTTGAGGAAGTTATGGTCCTTCAAAGACACCCCACTTTGCCTGAAAGTTCGCGCACCAGTGCTAAAATTGACGAATAATCTCCAGTCACGGCTGCAATTACATACCATTTCTGCTACCGTACTCCACATCTCGGTTAATGCATTTTTAGCGCATTTCTTTTTTGTTTTTTTTTCTGTTATGCCGCTTTTTGTTCTTTCGTTTTAGTCATAGTCTCATTTAACTCGCATTTATGCTGTGTTTATGCTACTCATCCTGTTTTTGATTACAAACGCTTGCACATAAGTAAATCAACTCAACTTAGGTAGGACTGTTTATATCTATTTTTTATATCTAATTGTTTATATCTAATTTCAGGAAGTATGTAACGTCAAACAGTAAAAAAAGGGGGGGGGGTCGTACCGAACCCCCAAAAAAAAGGGGGGGGGGTCGTACAGGCTCGACCAAAATCCCCATCGAATGCTGTGCCCTGCCACCACCGCCCCATCTCAGATTCAATAGAATGGTTTATAGTAAGTTAGTGTCACAATTCGCCAAAAGACGAAAATCCTCCGCACCTTGACAAGAGCTTCCCATCCGACAAGATCCATTGCAGAATGCCGATGTGCTTTGAGTTCTGCGAGAGCTTCGTCTTCGTCGTACAGTTTTCGAAACGGAACACCGATCAATTTTATATATGCTCCACCTGAAATTGAGCGTTTTTTTTCGTGAAACTTGACTAATATAAAGATCAGGCGAGAGATGGAAAACTTGTTAGGAAGGCTTAGGAATTTAGTGAGTGTTCTTCTCTGCTGCCCCCGCTGACGATTTACAGTCGTCATCCCGGCAGTTGATTATTCGATCAAAGGGTCGCAGCGCGTCTGCGGCGCGTCACGACCGCGGCGATCAGCTGTTTCCAGCCTGGTTTAGTCAATTTTCTCCTTAATTTTCACTGTATTTTCTATTTTTTCAAGGTAAATTGTTTGTCTTTGGAGGTATTTTTTTTTTTTATTCCCTTTTCGCTTTTTTTATTTAAATGATTTTGTAACTACTGTTTTGTTTAACTGTTTAGTTGTTCGGCGACAAGATTGGAGAAATCTCAATCATAATTCACCTTGTGAAGACAAGGAACAACTAACTTAAAGAAAAGCAGTCAGAAACAGTGAAAAGTAGGAAGAAAATGACTAAATCGGCCGGAAAAAGCTTATCGCCGCCAACAGTTCCTACGTACGCAGTCGCTGCTGCGGCCGCGTCTGCGACCCTTCGACGACCGCCTGATCAACTGCCCGATGACGACTGTACCCTTTTGGAACGCTGCGGCATGAAAGAGCGTTCCAGACTCTGCTAGTGCGCGCGATGCCGCAACTTGAAAGCAGCACTGCCCGAGATGGGGCATTTCCAATGGCATTACTTGACAAATCACCGAACTAGACTCGAATCCTCCCCAGGTTCAACAGTTACCGCGTCAACCTACCAATCTCACTAACTTTCACAGTTGCTGCCAGAACAGTATGGGGAGACAAGTAACCGGGCATTCCGCCTACTGAAACCACTGCGAGGTCCTCACCGGGTAACCCCGCCGTGGTTTCAGTGGGCGAAATGTTCACTTAAATGCAGTTCTTTCTTGCTGTTTCATTTATAATTTCGTCCATAAATCTTTTTCAGGCTGTCGAGTCATCTCTGGCAGAAGAAGTTCGGCCTCAGACAGGATCCAAGAGACCTGATGAAGATCAGGCAGCCTTTGTCACACAGAAGGTGGGTTTCTCGCAATACGAATCATATAGCAGCACTGGGCATTGCTTCTCCACTGTCATGTCCACATTCTGAAAGGTCCTATAGAAGCGGAAGGGCATAAGGTAGTGTTGAAACGAACTCCTCTCCAGGGAAAGTCCTGTTCGAAAGTTCCTCTTACGGTACGAGTCTCCCTTTCCCCATCTCTTATCTTACCTGCCATCTCGTGAATTTCTTCATCTCCCCACTACTCCTGAAATTCTTGAGCTTTTCCCCACAAACCGCCACCTAGGACGACGTATGTAGGAGGATGTAGTTTCATGTTTCCGCTTTGTTTTTCGCAATTATAAAATTGCTCTTCTGATGTGAGGTCTTTTTAGGGTGGAACAATTCTCGTCGATAAATCGGGTAATGTTCTCTATAAATTTATAGAGGAAGAAAACGTCAAATGGCCTACTGTAGACGACTTAATATCTCAGGTAAGCACCCCGTTTAGACCTAAAAAGTACTTGAAAATCTTTCATACCTGCTGTGTACCTAAATATCTTGGGAGAGGTAGTGTGGTGGCAAGTGGCTCCGAGTGGAG